CTACCGACAAAAACTACAAAAAAGGTATATGGAAGAAAAATTTTAGTCCCGCAACGCTGGTTCGTTTTTCGTTTCCCCAGAACAGTTATATTACGCATACCATTAACTTTTTCGTAATAATAAAATTACGTATCGTTAATTATTTTCTGAAAAAAATACTTTTTTTTATTGATATGGAAAAAGGATTTTTACTCGTATTGCTAAAATCTTATGATTTTAAGTAAACTACACAAGCAAAAATCCCATCGATTGGTTGCTTTTGACATCTGCTCCCTCCGAAATACTTCGTTTGCCTCCAACTCCCGCAAAAAGCGAATATAGAGATTTTGATTTTTGACTTTGACTGATTACAATAACGAATGGACATCATGCTTCTGTCCACTTTGTCTCCGGCAATATTTTGGGGCACATCGATTATCGAAATCGGAGCTACTGCACGAAATATTACCAGCTTGAATTGATAGGTGTTGCCGTTTTACCACTCGTCCGTAAGCTGCAGTTACGTGATGGCTGAACACAGGGATGAGTTCTTACGTATCAGTAAGTATCAATGGGACTTGGTACTCACGGATTCCCTGTTCTCAACTTGTGGTTATGGACTCGCACAACTCAGTCGGGCAAGTCATGTAATGATGCATACAACCAGCGTTGAAGCAGCGCCAGGTCTTGCGAAAGGGTTTGCCAGGTAAGAAAATCAAATTTCACATTGCTAAAAACTGTAATACTAAAAAACACCGTAACCTGAACCTCTCCTTTCAGACTTTTTGCCGTCTTGGGAAACGAAGTAAAAGACTAAAATGCATTTATGCATAGATTTTTCAATTTTTATGCGTTTTTGCATATATGCAAATGCAAAAACGCATATTGTGACGACCCCGGTGTGTGTGTGTGCGTCTGTCCGGGTATTTCAACTCGGCACCCAAGCAAGCTCCCGCGCCAAAATTTTCTAAATGGGTTCCCCGGCCAGGTGGCATCCCAGGACCGCGGTACCAATTCTCATGCAGGTCTGGGCCCCCCGTACGAGGGAGTGAAAGTTTTGGCGGGAAAATCGCTAACTCGGGAATCAGAAAAGCTAGAAAGCTGAAATTTTAAGGTTATGTTCCTCATGTACATAGAACTCAAAGATTTCAAATTCGGCCACAAGGTGTGCGTGGTTCCTACGTATGGCCTCGTGAGGGTTCCTGGCATGAAAATCGCTAGCTCATGAACCGGGAAAGCTGAGGAACTGAAATTTTCAGAAAATGTTTTCAGCACAAATACAACTTATAATTATCAAACTCAGCCCTTCAGCTTGTGTGGTACTCACGTGCGGCCCGTAAAATCTTTTAGCGCGAGAATGGCTAACTCGGGATCCAAGAAAGCTGGGAGGCTGAAACTTTCAGAGAATGTTCCTAACCCAAGTTCAACTTAAATTTTTCAAATTCAGCCCTTCAGCGTGAGTGGTAATCAGATATGGCCCCGTGAAAAGTTTTTGGCACGGAAATAGCTAACTCGGGGACCAGGAAAGTTGGGGAGCTGAAACTTCCAGGAAATGTTCCCAGTACAAGTACAACTTACAATTATCAATTTCAGCCCCTCAATATGAGTGGTAATCACTTACAGCCCCGTGAAAATTTTTGGCGGGAAAACGGCTAACTCAGGAACCAGGAAAGCTGGGAGGCTGAAATTTTCAGAAAACACTGCTAACACATGTTCAGCTTAAAATTGTCAAATTCAGCTCCCGAGCATGCGTGGTTCTAACGTGTGACTCCGTGAAAAGTTTTTGACGCAGAAGTGGCTAACACGAGAACCAGGAAAGCTGGGGAGCTGAAATTTTCAGGGAATGTTCCCAGCCCATGTGCGATTTAAATTTATCAAACTCAGCCCTCGGGCGCGCGTGATGTCACGTGCGGCCCCGTGAAAATTTTTAGCAGGAAAATTACTAACTCAAGAACCAGAAAATTTGGAAAACTGAAATTTCAACGAATTTTTCCCCGTCCACACTTCCCAGATTTCGAGGACCAGTATATCACACATTTCTAGCTACTGGGCTCCGAGCGATCTCATTACAGCATGAAATTTTGCAAAAACGCATGATCGCACAGGCCCACCCAGTGCGTATCGCCAATAATTTTTTTTTTTGTGCATACGTGTGAAGCAGTTACGGTTTTCTGGTGCGCCCACAGCCAAACTGCAAACCGGTCAAT